ATAATGAGAACTTATTTCTCAGACAATCATCTTTCAAGATTTTTTTTACACCCCTAGATTGATAGTACAACTCATCGGTATGATTGTTGGAACACCCTATCGTCTGTTGGTGTGACCTCCCAGGTATAACGCTGTTTTTTGGCGGACACGTCTTCTTCTGGAAATATAAAGTCTTGTTAGCATTCTCAGGAATTACACGTTTAGAACCACCCATTTGCGGGTGTGGAGTCTTAACGGGCTTCTGAGTTTCGATATGAACCCCCAAGCGGGTGGAAATCAGGATTTTTCCGACTTGGGATTGCTTTGGGTTGGTGGGAGGATGTGTACGACCCACAACCTGACGAGTTATTTGGATTTTGTTCATTGGACCTAAGCGTTTCTTGACCAGAGCTTTTCCTCGATCTTCGTGCAAAGAACTAAGGCGATCTGCCATAGTAATTTTGAAGTTTGATAGGTCAGGAGTGACGTAAGGCTCCACTGACGATGTAGCAGATGTAATTGCAGCAAACGGATGAGAAACAGACATCGACTAAGTTAAGGAAATAGCCTCAGGAACTTGCCTTTGGCCGAGACACTGGTCAGTGTCTCGAACAAGGCTGCTTTGTCCGAGACAGTGGCATGTGTCTCGGCTAAAGGGGCACTCCTTGTTGCCGACGAATTTGATTTTCGCACATGTTTGGACTTTGGGATCCAAACTTTACGTGTTCTTGGTGATTCTTTGCCCACCGTTTCCCTCTTTCTAAGAGCACAAGCTTGTGGGACACGTGCACGATGTTTTTTGATGTGCACTTCCCTCGTCGAACGAGTCCTCTTGATAAGAACCCACTCTTTAGTCAATGGCTTGGAGGACATGTCAAGAAACTTGATGTTGACGTGATTCAGTTCCACGACGAATCCTAGACTCCAAGTTCACGTAGTATTGAATCTCATCGACCTATTCTAAGGCCTTAGCGAGCTGACGAGCGAGACGTTGGCGTTGTCTCTGACGATCCCTCTTAGTTAGAGTTAGCGAACTTCGATCGAATGATTCCTTAATTAGGAAGGAATCTTCGTGAGCAGAGTTTCCGATTTTGAGGGTCACCGGGATAATGTTACGAGGGGAGGCCTCGATAACGATTGGGTGAGAGTCTTCACCTTGAGCCTTCTTTGGCGTGTAAGCCTTCTTCAATGGTGAGATCCTCCTGTACTTGCGGGATAAGGAAGATCTTGAAGAGGATGAGAAGAGATATTCCTCAAACTTGGTTTGGTCAAACTCATACTCGACCATGAATTCAACCGGTATCTTGATCGGCTATGACACGAAGGTCTTAGTAGCGAGACCGTTGGCTCCCACTGTGGTCGCCAGCGTGTTTGCATCATGAACAAGTTTTATTATAGAATTTATTATAATTGTTTATCGATTACAATAAATACAGAAGAGCAAGTTTCATGCTTTATAAAACTACTCTTTATAACAAAAAAATCAAATTACAACGCTCCTTAAAAACACACGCATGATCGTTTTGGATCACTGCTTGCATGGGATCTTTGCTTGTGCCGGGGGTGCGTTAGCCGTGGACCATCGAATCACAAATTCAGATTGAACCATGAAGGCTATTTAAGAATTCTTGCTTCGTTTAGAAGTAAGAAAAGAAGTGAATATCTTATCGATGTAAGATGAACACTCTTCTTAAGATCAAGTCAAAACTTAGATCTTAAGGAGTCACAAGAACTCTAAAAAAGGCTTGCACGTGATGAAGACTCTCTCTTGCTTGGAATTCGCCTAATTGCTCAAGTCTCTCTGCTCTGAAAATGCTCCAAAATGCTCGGGGCCTCCTCAGTAATGATCATAGGGGGGTATTTATAGCCCCTATGAATAATAACTGAAGTCAGAAGTTAAAAAGAAGTCACATAAGGGGACTCCCATTTCTGAGATAGTTGTAACTATCTTGGAAGCATGATTAACTTCCCATTTCCTAGGACAGTTATAAGTGTCTCGGAAGCATGGTCAGTTTCAGCCATTTTGTAACTGCTTTCAACACGTTTTAATACCATTTTTTGGACAGTTATTGATATGATTTTTGTTTGTAACTGCTCCCCTCACGTTCATAGGTGATCCCCAGGAGTTAATAAGTCATGTGGACCACACGAAACTTAAGAAAACTATCATAAAACACGTTGTTAGCTTCTCAATGTGTGAGACAGTCTGAGGTGTCTCGCACTTCCGAGACACCTTTGGTGTCTCACACTTCCGAGACAGTTGCATGTGTCTCGGAAACTATGTGTTGTATTTTGTCTCTAATTCTCTCATCCGATCTCGGAATAATGTGATCCAAGATACGTTGGAAAGCTAGAGAAGAGATCTACAACTTCCCATAGGTGAGACACACATGGTGTGGGAGAGACACACGTGGTGCTTCGTCCTTTTTGGGCGAGACACAGCTTCTAGTTGAGTCATTTTGTCGTTGTTTTTTTTTGTCGTTCTATCGACTTGTATGCTTTACCGATTCATTTCATGCACTTGTTAGCTTCCCTAAGGTATCAGATAGTCCTCATTAACTCGGATATTGATGTTCATTGTCTTTTCTCCATCTCGAGCTGTGTGCGGGAACCAATAGGTAATTTTTTATGTCTACAGAGGTCAATTTTCTTTTGGGTAAAAATCAGAACTTCTTCTTTTGACATGAGTTTGTGGATTGTACAAGTCGTCGGTGTTCTCCTCATAGTAGAATCTCTCTTCACCTCTCCCGTGGACGTAGGTAAGTTTGCCGAACCACGTAAATCTCGTGTCTTTACTGTTTTCTGGGTGTTGGCTATACTTGTAGGTTCCCTCGATAATTCAGTCCTAGCACTGATGAGAGGAAGAGTGTATATCTCACTTTGTTGAGATATTTCACTTCTATTCTTGTTTCATTTGTAAAACGGGAATATAGAGGTTGGCTTGAGCTTTTGTTAAAATAAAAGTCAGGGCTTTCTCTCGTTATATTGCTTCTACGGTGTGAGGGCGTGACTCTGCGCCAGAGAGAGAGAGAGAGAGAGAGAGAGAGAGAGAGAGAGAGAGAGAGAGAGAGAGAGAGAGAGAGAGAGAATGTGTGTGTGTGAGTGATTGCAATTATAAGGAGGATTCTGGGATTTTCTTTTTCACTGTTGAGTTAGCTTTGTATAGGAGCTGAAATACAAAAAAATATATGTATTTGGGGATTTTACCCAAGGAAAAGAATATGAAGAGCTGTGACATTTTAGTCTTTCAATTTTGGGGCCTTGACACCATTTTTCCATGAATGAAATTGGCACAATATTATGGTTTTATTAACATTGCTGTGACATCCTATAAGGGCATAACTCCACGCTATAGAGCACTTGTTGGATCTTTTTCTTAACCAAACAAAAGCTAAGAGAAAAGGTGAAAAAAGAAAAGGAGATTGAAAGCAAAGAATAAGCATGTAATAATTATGAGTGGTGATGATTACATTATTATGCCTATATTGCTTCTATACTATAAGAGAGGAAAATGTGAAATCTATTTTCTTCAACTTATTTCAAAATTAATGGCTTATATCAAGAGAGTTTACATTTTTCTCTCTTATAGTATGGAAATAATAATACAGACAATAATATAGTTATCATTATCAAATAATTATACATGTTTTTTCGAACTCTAATTATACATGTTTTTGCGAACTCCATCCACACAATGGCTTTTCGCTTTAATATTTAAAGAAGTTATAATAGTATATATCTTCTTTCTGTTTAGAATCACATGATTTAATAACTTCAAATTTTGTGTGGTTTATAACTCAGAACAAATTACTCATAGTCGACATACATATATAATATCCTTTATGTGGTCCATCTGTCGCCTAGTACCGATCAAATGCTTGTTTAATCTATATTGATATCGTGTAGTTCCGTGAGAATCTGCAAATCGTGTGATGGAGTATTGCTCCTCTTTTTTTCTCTTTTCTTTCTTTTTTTTTTTTTGTTTGAGGGGGCGAAGGGAAAGAAGGGAAGGGGAAACAAGGCAAAGAAATGAAATGAATGAAGAGGAAAATATAATAATCATGTTTAGAGTTTTAGTAATGAAAATGAAGGAGAATTATTTTTTAGCCGTTAGATTTGTATCATGAGAAAAATGGAGAAACTTGGTACCAAGATGCTCCAAGCAACTTGGTAGTGATATGGTCTAATCTTGTCCTTATATCTACATTGAAGTTGGTGAAGGGTGGTTGAGGTTCTATCTTCGAGGTGTGATGTAGGGGTAAGATTAGGCCACATCACTACCAATTTGCTTTAATAGAATATAAGTTAAAAAATATGAACTTTGTTACTTCTCTCTCACTTCATTCTCTTTTAAAAAGAACTCCCAAACAAAATGTATCTATATACCTTCTACGTCTCATTCACCCCCATCCTGCCATCCAGAACAAGACAAGGATCCTCCATCAAAAGATTTGTAGATTCTCACGGCTCTATACATAAGTTCGTCCAGCTAGCAATTCGCCTTGCCTTGTCAATGGAAGATGTAACATAAGCAGTTTTTCCTAACTAATTAATCACTATATTGTGCAACATAACATTTGCGAGCACTCAAGTACAAGCAGTTGATGTGACGATATAAGAGAAATTGTAGAATCAATTTAGAATTTGTAATGCTATAGTTTGGATTATACGTACCTACAAAAAAACAACAAAAGAAAATTTCTTAATTACACATGCAGTGTAGGCCTCTTTTAATATAAAAAATAAAAACTACCATATCATTTTATGCACGGTCTTATTTGGAGAATCACACGTACTGCTGGCATCAACTTACTCCCACAGTAGCCAACTTTATG